AGGCCGTAAGGTAGCAACTGTACATAGTTCGATTCTAGCCATCGAACTGGCAAAATCTAGAATTCTGATCCTCTGTGGTGGAAGCTATTCTCTTCAGGCGTCGACTCTATGACGCGCACTCAAGTCGGTGCGAGGTTCAGGTACAACCTACTTGGTTTAGAGGATCACTGGATTGAAACCTGTTAGCAGAACACTGGCAGTCATCTGAATGCAATTACTAAAGGCTAATGTTTCTACACTGCTACAGATCTATGCGCCAACTTCGAACGGAAATTATGAGTCATTCATAGAAGAAATAAAAGATGCTCCGTACGAAATGCCGACAGTAACTCATAATGCTAATGTGGGATTTCAAGGCACATGTCAGAGCAGACACTCAAAAATGGAAAGGCGTGATTAGAAGGAACAGTCTTAGCGACCTCAACAACAACGGACTATCTGTTATGGATACCTTCTTCTAGCATCGCAACGTGTATCAGTTTACCTGGTATAGGGAAACTTGTGTACATAAGTTTATGATCGATCGACACTCGCATCGTCTGACTTAATATGCTCGATAAACTGTGAATCGATCATCATCTTATTACGGCATCTTCCAATATAAACGAATTAGTACCGTACAAAGATTTGACGGTAGAAGCAACCAGACAATTAAATTGGAAACATTACCTTTCTGCGGATGCTAAGGCGAAACTGGCAAGCAACAGCACCTGACGATTTTAACAGATCCCAGTGATGATTGCTGATGTGGAAACCCAGCGGTAGACCTCAAAGAGTGGCCTATTCGGAGATGGCACCGAACGCTGTAGCTCAAAATTGGTTGGAGTGCCGCCTGGAGGTCAGAAACAGACTTCCTGTTGGACGTGAGAGGGTCACTGGCTGTCACCAGCAAGAAGGCTGCCCTCAAGAAATTGCTTGGAAGCAAAGAACATATATCTGGAATGCAGTACTAGAAAGTGCGCAAGGCTTCAGTGAAAGCAGTGACCAAAACGAAAGCTGATTTCTGGGAGAAGTTTGGCGAGCTGTAGGAGTCGAATTTCCATACGGCACACAAGGTATTCTGGCAGTCCATCCGCCCGCTCCAAGGTGTAAAAAGGGCAGTCTAAGAATCTCGAAAGACAGATATGGATAGGGTCTTACAGAAGATCAAGACACTGTTAAGCAATGAAGAGAGCATTTTGAGAAACTGTAACCTTTAACAAATGCAGGAGGACTCGTTTGAAGAGCAACAGGCAGCGGATATTATTTTTTCAGTAAATGAAGTCACAGAAACTGTATAAAGGTTCATAAGTGGCAAGACTGCTAAAATCAATGAAATCGTCCCGAAGTGCTTGAAGCCTAGGGCGAACAGGGCATGTGGTGGCTAGCCCGTGTCTGTCAAACGGCAACGGCTACTAGAAGACACCAGATGACTAGAGAAATGGAATGGTAGTGCCCTGTTCGAGAACGGTTGGGACTGCTTCAATTACCGGGGCATTACCTTACCGAGCTTCCCGGAAAAAGTCTACGCAAATGTGTTAAAAAGGAGATATCGCAGAATATCTGCCTCTAAGACACGAGAAAAGCAGTGTGGCTTCAAATAAGGCCAAAGCTTCTATGATCAGACCCTTGCTTTACGCCAGATTGTTGAGAAATCGTGGGAGTTCACTCATCCGGTTTATATATGCTTTGTTGACTGGAGAAGGCCTGCGACCGGATCCCGCGCAATAAGCTATGGCATTCCTGCGAGCATTTAGAATCGATGGCCAGTAGCTATGAGCCATCCATCCAATATATGTTGATAGCAACAGGTGCGTCAGAGAAACTTAAGTCGAGAACCTTCAGTGTTGGCACTGGTCTCCGCCAAGGCTGCTTTCGATCCCTCTCCTACTTTTTATATCGATGGGACAGTTATTCGCCGTCGAGACGAATAGTGCATCAGCGTAGATGTGAAACGGGACGTTTGATGTTTAGAGACGGTTCTGTTAACATTATCCGTAATTAATCTCTAGCGCTTTCAGGAAAGGACTGACTCTTAGCGCAACGCAACCGGCATGCACGTGAACGTGTATCACCAAAAAAGTGTGGTGGTTTCTCGTTCTCCTCAGCGATGAAAAGAGCAGCAGTGAAACAGGTGAAGTTCATATACCTAACAATCATGTTTGTTGGTAATGGAAAGTGGGAGAAAGAGTCGACCATCGAATTTGAACGAATTGCCGAGTTCTACATTGGCTTGCGTAAACCGTTGTGACTAAAAAAGAGACGAGAGCTGAATCTGAAAACTGAGTTCTGAGTGTTCAAGTCGATCTTTCTCATGACCCTCATCGTCGGCCATGGGTCTTGAGTCATGACGAGAAAACTTCGATTCTGAGTGCAGTCGACTGAAATTGGCTTTCTGAGACGAGTCGCTGGCCTCATGCATCTCGACATGATCTGGAATGCCGACATCCTGGAGAACCTTGGTGTACAGCCACTGGTTCTTCAGGTTGAGAAGTCAGAGCTGCGAATGTTCACAAGGGAAGTCGAAACCGCTACTGCTTGCCCAACCGACCGGCCATAGACCTCGGGGAAGGCCAAGAATGATCCGAGTCAAATGTTTCGGCGCATGCTGCTCCAGATTTGGGCTATACTCTGTCGAGGCTGAAACTCTGGCACAAGGTTGGAGAAGTAGGAGGCACTGTCTGAAACGTCTTTCTCCTTCACGACCAGCAGGGATGAGCGATCATCGAAGCTGATTGAGGGACGTTTCGTCATATTATGTGTTTCAAGCTGGCCATTCCCCTGGATACACAAGAATTGTGCAGGCAAACAAATATTAATTGAATTAAGATATAAAATTCATGTGCATATTGCAAACCAACAGTTGTTAACTTCATGGTACTTCAAGACTACGTTTCCACTGGTCAGTGTCTACGGAATCAACCATCTCAACAAATCTCAAAAACAGACATCACTATCGAATGCTCCCACTAGTGGAGTATATCCCAGAACATCGGAGTTATGCTTTCGATTTGAAACATCACTACTGCATTTCGACTTTTGAGATATTCTTTATTCTTTTGAAGCGTACTCAAAATCTCAGGTCGAAAAGCTTTGTGAATTAATAAATTTGATGATAATCTTGTAATAGCCAAAGTAACTGCCATAGTTCGACAGCAATCTACCTTAGTTTTAAATTCCCCTGACACTCTTAGCAATATTCATAAAGTCTTAAATGTCTAAGCAGCCTTACAGTGCTTGTCCTGTCAGTTTCACCAAACTGTCGCTGGCTTTTAACACCGCACCTGTACATTATTTTTGACTGATTAATTGGTTGATGGTTCGTTTAACCAGAAATTTAGTTTAGAGCTACACATGCGCTTACATGCAACAAACTATAGTGCTATCCATGAACTACGTCGTGTGATATGTTGAACAGTCCAAAGGCAACGGCACAGAAGTTCGGAAACTTGAATATCTTGATTTTAGTTACTTTACTGGCTAAAATAGGGTTTGCATTCCGAAAGGGAAACATATGCGAATAGTGTTAAGTTAGGCGGGTCTGCACCTTAGAGTAAGAGGAACAGAATGAAACACGTGTGATTCTGACGTTGCTGGTTATGAAACGAGTTGTAGGTCTTCTTGCTTTCAGCATCAGCCATTCATCTACGACATGCTTGTAAAGTTAACATATTTTCTCACCTGAACACATCGTGGGTATCCAGCAGTTGATTACCAGGCGGTTTAGAGGGTGATTCCGGTGAGAGCTTTGAATCTTTATTTTCGAGCTTGCCTGGCGAGGTCGAATCAAGCTGTAAGACGCTACCTACTACTTTACGATCTTTATTTTCCACCTTAGGTGTGTTCTTCTTTGCCTGCTCAGAACTTTCGCCGACATCGCGCTTCGACGAAGAATCAGCGGGCTTGATCTTACAGTCGGTCTTCGAGGAAAGCGCACCTTCCGAAGTGCCGTACACTCGGCTTCGCCATGTTGAACGAGATGGTTGTTCTTTGCCATCCCTGGAAGTGGATCCTTGATGCTTTAGCACGCCATTGTACGGTCTGGAAACAGAGGAAGCTGTTGACAGCGATGACGCCGACGATTCATGCTGCTCCTTGACACGAAAACATTTCTTGCATCGTTCTGGTCTCCAACTTTGAGGCTCGAAACCGGTGCATGTGTCGCCGCCAACTCGAATACCAGTAGTCGTCGCCGTGCTGTACGATCGTTTGTCAGATGTACTGGAAAACAGTCTCGATCCAGTGGACGAACGCGAAGCAAAACTGTAATTGCTGCTTCTTTCTATGGCTGACGTTACACTAAAATTTAGGGAAATTATTACGAGCATCAGCATGCATACAAATATAATTAATTCATAACAAAACGCTTCCCTGCGTCAGCTTCAAATTAAGATCATGAAACATGCAGCTATCTCTCGAAGGCCAAACAGTATATTACAACAATAAAGGTACTGATAACGCAATTGTTGAGATAAACCGATTTGAAGCAGTGGAAAACGAGCAAGACTAAACAGGACTTAAATAAACAGAAATTCTAGGAGCGTTCTATTTAGGCTGAAATGAGGAAAATTGAGAAATGGGGATTACTTTACGAAATTTCCATAAAATATTTAATATGCCACTTTCTTAGTGCAAAGGCGTTGCATGCCATCGAAATACTTTCTTTTAATGCTCTCATAAGGCCAGATATTACATATTCATTTGTGCGCCAATGGTTATGACTATTAGACTCTGTCATGTCACTGTGTTCCGATCGCCTAAACATAAAACGCTGGGTTCTTATTCCAGTAAAACCTCTTCGACAGCACAAACAATTTTTAGCAGTAATATCAACGAATTTCTCCCAAGCTTAGCAATAAACACGTCAGGATGATATCGCTTGCTCTGAATTCTACTCAATATGTTCTGAAGTCTTTTCATTAACTGGCATTCAAAATTTCTCGACCGCCAAAGCGATTAAACCTGACTTCACCGATGCTCGAGATCGCATTTTGGGAATTTTGAATAACATTTTCATTAATCTTTAGGTAAGTCTCAAACGGGAAGACAATCATAAATTTTCTTTGATTAGAGACATCTGACGTTTTAGACCAAACTCGGTCCGTCTTCATTGCACTCTGAAGAACCGAAACGTCAGTTGTCCCTAATTAAAGGAAATTTAATGCGTTGTCTTCCCATTTGTGACTTACCTAAAGATTATATCACCTCCCGCATAAATAAATTATGTACGTTTTTCAACACTTTCACTATGAGAAAACTGAAGCCAAAGGCGCGCCTCATAAAGATTCTGTGGCAGACAAAAACAACACTAAAACAGAAAATATACTTTAACTTTAATATACTGGTAAACTGCAACTGAACGGATATGCTGCAGAGGGCTGTATCCAGGGGGTGAAGGGGTGAGTTCGAACTGACCAATGAACAATATCTCTACCAACAATTCACCAAATGCCTCCAATTTGCATTTCGATGGGCTCATTGAAGGATGGATAGGACGAAGTCTATAGTTCACGACGGATGACACCTTGATGGGACTGTCTATGAAACTCGCGAAGAAATATGTTGCGTATGGAAGAATACCGGAGCCGTAAGTAGTAATCATATCACGTCGGCTAGCAAACACTGGAAACACTTACGACCCTGGTGTAGTCGGGACGCGACTGACAAATGGTAAAATGATATAATCAAAATCTTAGTAGCTAGCTACAACACCAGAATTTTGCCGCCCGACGCGCTCGCTGACATCCACATCACCGAGGCGAAGATAATCAAAGCAGATATTCTCGGAGTATGCGATATCCGAAGATCCGTCGAACCTATCACAGAACGAAACAGGGGTGATCAAGAATTCCCTGGGAAAGGGTGCGAAAATCGGATTCCGACAGGCGGTTTAAGATTCAGTGTAAAGAAGAAGTTTCCACCACTCGTGTCACTCCTATCGCTCTATTAATTCAGTGAGTGAACAAGAGAAGATCACTCCAGATAATGGAAGTTTATAGCCCAATACAGCAAACAGACGATGAAGAAATGGAACAATTCTGCCAGGAACTGGTAAGCGCAATAAGAATTAAGTCCAAGGAGATTCGAACGCCATACTGGGAAAGGAAACAACCGAGCCGGAGCGTTTCACTGGCCGGTTTGGAAGTGGAAAACGAAACGAACGCATTTGCCGCCTAGAAACGTTTGCCGAAAGTAGTCGCCTCCACATAAAAAATATCATGTTTGAAAATGCCGAAAACCGGCAGTGGACATGGAGGAGCCCTAATGGCATGATCCTTAGGCAATCGACTATGCGCTGACGGACACAAGGTCGGTAATAACAGATGTGTGTGTGTCACTGGAAAAAACATCGTCAGCACGCGGTCGGTCCACAGATTGCACAGCTCCACAATCACAGTCCATGTCATTAAAGAGGATTAAGCTAGAAAAACCCAAAACCACCGGCGCTCGGATGAATATCTGACCTTGGAGTTTTCGCAGACAAGCTTCTTCAGTTGAACCTCGCAATAGACATATATAGAGGCATCGGTACCGACTACCAGAACCTCATCGATCAATGCTATAGAAACTACCATCCAGTCATCCAGTCGGGTAGCCGACGAGGAAACAACGCCAGCCCTGTAACGAGGCAGCCCTTGACTAGAAGGTCCTAGATGAAAGCTGACTGACAACTTAACGACCAGTATATGAGTTGTGCAATTAAATGCGAAGGATGATTCGGAAGACTACGTCGAGGCTACAAGAGAACGAAACTAAGAGAGGTCACGTTGAAAAA